ACTAAAGTGTTTATCACATTAATAGCTTTCAACAATTTAAGAACAGCGAAGCTACAAATGATGCAGTAGACTAGTTAATATTGGATTTCTTAAATTCAAGGAGCCCTTTCGCCATTAATAGAACTAATTATAGTATTCAGATCCACTATTTGCCGGGCACTGGATCACTTTCACAAAAATCTGCTGCTATATTTTTCCAACCACTTTCATTGTTTGGCAACTAAAAAAATAATCAATGATTGATTTTCATTACGTTGCGTTTTTTATTTTAAAATTTTTTTTAAACTAATATCATATTATACTGTTTTTATTATAACCATAACAAGTTAAATTAACTGGCATCTTCATTTGCATATGATGAACAGGAAATATTAGATTTATTCAAGTTAAATAATTCTAATTTTATACTTAAAGAAATTTATTTAAGTATAAACCTGAAATCAGTACCGACACACTATTGTTCCTTGTCTTGTTTGCGAATTGACGATGAAAACAATAATTGTCAAATCCATTTAAAGGGATTTCACCGTCAATTTCAGACTATTAAAGGCCTGCAAACATATAGTCAATTTAGTCGGTGTGCGAAATGTCGTGCATATTTGACTATTATTCATTTTGATACATCATATCCTGTAATAAATGTACCATTTTACTCATACAAGATAAAACCGACAGAGATAGATATGATTCATATAATTCATTCCATTTATAATTCAGGTAAATATAATTACTATAAACATAGTTTGATTTCAGTAATAGTTTCTCAATCTTATGATTATACAAACATTTCAGATTTTGAAGATATTTATAAACATGTTTACGTTATAGAGTAAGCAAATTACTTGTTTACACACATTTGGATCACGGATGATGAAAGTACCTATGCTAGTAACATAGTGTTATTGCTGTTATTAACAATATCTGGTCACATGAACATAATCACTGAGTGAGTTAATGCACACACACACACATACACACACACACGTATGCACACACAAATAAATATTATATTCAACATTGTTTACCATCATTGAATTTGTTTTCATAATAGATTGTATATTCGGAAATTCATAGAAAATACCTTCCAAAGATAACGATTTACTATGAAATACAATGGGTTTAGCGCAGGGGCGCCGAGACCTATATTAATGTAGGGCGACTGCCCTACATATTGAAATGGGTGGGTGGGTGGTTGCCGAGCGGGCAGTAGCTGATGCCTGATAGATGTCAACTGTAGAAACTAGAAAGATATATAAGAAATATAATAGGTACCTATGTAAAGTATAATAATTATTATACGTAATACACTATAATATAATACCTATTGTAGTTGGGTAACTAATACGATAGTATAAGAATAGTTAATAGTTTAGAATATTACAGGACGTATAACGATAATATAGCTATTTTAACAACTTAAATGTAATGATGTACATTAGGTATTTATTTATTCGTAACTCGTTTAGGGCCGTTGAATTGAATTATTTTGTACTGCGTAAACTGTTGAAAGTCATATTATACAGTTTGTAGTTAGTGAATACTGGGTATTTTTCATAAAATATCGAATAAATAACAGGAAATACGTCAACACATGTAATGATGGTTGCCATTGGTTGGTACAATACTACAATAATTGTAACGAAAAATCTAAAATTATCGCGGAATATCGTTATCGTAATCACATGGAATACCCGTAAAGTGGTAGTATGCCAGTATAATATCAAAATATTTTTAGATTTTATGGTTTTATTATAAGAGAATAAAAGTATATATTATTATATATAATTGTTATTTTATCTTAATACGATGAAAACATTATTAAATATTAATTTTCACGTAAAGTCCGTCAGTCGTGTGCTGTGTTACCATTTATTTATATAGCTCTTGTGTAAACTGTGGCAACCGTGCATCATTTAATTATTATAGTGTTGATTCTACATTATAGGTAATTATTTATTTTTTTAATTATCACGTGTTATTAAGTAAAAATTTACTATGTCGGAATCCGAAAAATTGACGTGTGTATGCGGTAAAAAACGAGAAAACCTGAATATTACAAATTGGAAAAGACACCTGGACAATTGTAAGCAACGTAAAACAAAAATTAATTCTCGAAGCATTACTTCATTTTTTAATATACCGAAACCGAAGAAAGTATGTATGGATACCGATACAATTCGTTATCCTTATCCAACTTCAGATGGTAAGACTTACACTTTGATAAATGTTTAATAATTATTGCATATTTTTGCAAATGTTTACAAAATTTGAAATTTATTGCATAATTAACAGAAAATTTAAAAAAAAAAATTATAAAATAATATTTTATCAAGTAGGAATATTAAACAGAATTTTGTTGGCATTAAATAATAATTGAAATAAAGATAAAATTTATAAAAATACATTAAGTTCAGAAAATTTTTAAATCATTTTTTTTTCATTAAGTATTTAAGTACCTAATTAATTATTTGTGAATACATTTTACTGCATATTATAATATGGCATATTTCGTTACTTCTTAGTGCATAAAAATCCGTGATCTAGTCATGTATATTACAACGTATAAAATAAAACCAATTTATTTATAAGAATTTAGTATTTTAGTATCTTTTAATAAATTTATTTTAGCGTTCATAAATGATTCAGGTTCTAGTGTTCATGAGCAAATTAAGCAAAAAGACATGATTCTTACTTCCAGTTCTTTAAATAAAAACGGTAGGTAAAAATGTTTATAATATGCTGTTTTAAATGTTGTTCTAATGCCTATTTAAATACACATTTTTAGTTTTGGACTCTGTTGTTGGTAATACATTTAGTCAAATCGCAAAAGAAATTGATCAAGACAGTGGTAATTGTTTTAATAAAAATGGTAGGTAAAAATGTTTATAATATGCTGTTTTAAATGTTGTTCTAATGCCTATTTAAATACACATTTTTAGTTTTGGACTCTGTTGTTGGTAATACATTTAGTCAAATCGCAAAAGAAATTGATCAAGACAGTGGTAATTGTTTTAATAAAAATGGTAGGTAAAAATGTTTATAATATGCTGTTTTAAATGTTGTTCTAATGCCTATTTAAATACACATTTTTAGTTTTGGACTCTGTTGTTGGTAATACATTTAGTCAAATCGCAAAAGAAATTGATCAAGACAGTGGTAATTGTTTTAATAAAAATGGTAGGTAAAAATGTTTATAATATGCTGTTTTAAATGTTGTTCTAATGCCTATTTAAATACACATTTTTAGTTTTGGACTCTGTTGTTGGTGATACATTTAGTCAAATCGCAAAAGAAATTGATCAAGACAGTGGTAATTGTTTTAATAAAAATGGTAGGTAAAAAATGTTTATAATATATAATATTTACAAATATTTAATAAAATAAAGGTTGGTAATAATAGTTTTTTTTATGTATATATTTATATAGATATGAATTCTATCAATACTGACATGGAGACTGTCGATATCGAAGTGGATACTGAGATGGAGACTGTAGACATGTTCAGAAATGACCCAGCACATTTTGTCAAGTTAAAACATATAACACCGGAAATTAGAAGTTTAATATTAGAACTAGGTCCTTGTCAACCACTGTCAAATGATCTTCCAGGAAAGAGTTTTCCTAAAAATGGTTCAAAAGAAAATAGAAGCTTTAAAGAAATATACTATTACCGGATTCTTCCTGACAAAACAAAATGTCTCCGCGATTGGCTGTCATATTCTCCAAGCAAAAACAAAATATATTGCATGCATTGTTTTTTATTTGGGACAAATTTGCACAAAAATCTAGAGAAATCATGGACAAAAAATGGATTTGACTCATGGAAAAACTTGTCTTCCGGAATAGAGTATCATGAACTTACAAATGATCACATAAACGCCACATTAAAGTATAAACTTCGAAAGACTTCAACTCCAATTTTGCCTAGTTTGGAATATCAGCGTAAAATTGAAGTCTCAATGAATCGACAAGTAATAAATGAAATTATAGACATTGTTTTATACTTAGCAAGACACAATTTGGCTTTTCGAGGTCATAGAGATAACTGGTCAGTAAGTTCGCCTGGTGGTAATTTCAAAGACTTGGTTATTTTATTAGCTAAAAGTTCAGCTCCATTATCTGACCATTTAAATAGTATAAAACTAAAAAAAAAAGGTCAAATTTCTTTTGTTACCTGGGAAAGACAGAATCAGTTAATAGATTCAATATCTCATGATATTTCCTCTCAAATTCAACAAGCAGTTGTTCAATCCAATATGTTTAGTATATCTATTGATTCTACTTTTGATGCTTCACGTCGCGAACAAGTATCATTTGTTATTAGATATGTTGATGATACATTTGGGTTAATTCACGAAAGAGTCATTGCTATTAAAGAATCACCTATTACAACAGGAAAAGACTTGTACAGCTTATTTGTTGCTATTATGGAAAAAGAAAAACTTAATTGGAAAGATTGCCTTGTTGGGCAGTCTTATGATGGTGCTTCAAACATGCGCGGAAATTACAAAGGCTTACAAGCACATATAAAAAGAGAATGTCCACAAGCTTTGTATGTATGGTGTCATGCCCACCGACTAGCCTTGGTAGTCAAGCAAGCTGTATCCTGTGACTCAAATTCAAGAGACTTGTTTGGAAATTTGGAAAGTCTATATGTCTTGTTATGGTGTTCAAAAAAAAGAGCAGCAACATTTAGAGAAGCTCAAAAAAAACACTCAGACTTAAAATACACCCAAGAGCATGCTGTTAAACGAGTCTGTACAACACGTTGGAATTCCCATTCAGCAGCTTTGAATGTAGTTATCAAGTTTCATCATGCAGTTTTACAAACATTGGAAGAAATAAAAAATCTTGAAGGAGTTACTGATGCAACTGTTGGTGCCAATTGTAGTGGTCTTATAGATTATTTTACATCACGGAGATTTTTATTAACTGCTTTCACATTCAAAAAGCTATTCGACATATTAGAAGTAGTTACAAGACAATTTCAAACACATGATATGGATATTTTATTGGCAACAAGTATTGTAACTAAAACAATTAATTCGATTAGAAAATTGAGAGCAAATAATTCATTTGAGGAAATTATAAAATTAACAGATAATTTTATCAATGAGAGTGACACAGATTTTATACCATTAAAAAATATTAGACCTAGGCGTGTTCCAATTAAAGCAGGTATGATATTATTTATTTCAATTTTACAATGCTATGTAATTAACTAAAAAATAAATATAAAAATATTTTCAAGGTTAAATTATATATTAGTTATTTTTAGTGAATAAAACAACTAATTGTATTTTATTAATTATTTAGGTGAACTAATGCAAGATGATCCTATTGTTTGTCCAATTAAAAAGTTTGAGGTAGAAACATACAATGCTGTAATAGATATGACTCTAAATGAATTGAGTGACCGGTTTGAAACAACAAATATTGGACCATTAAAAGACATAGCATTGCTCTCATATCGTAGAATACAAGAAGTGCACAATGATCCAACAATGCTACCCAAAGATTCATTTATAGAGTTATGTGAGGTCTATTCAAAAATTAATAGAGATTGTTTGATTTCTGAATATATGCAGTTTTGTAAAAATTTAAATGAATTTGAAAATAACTTAAATTTACCAAAGTTTTTGCATGATGTTAGTAATAATAAATCAAGTAATGATGAAGATGAAAATGATAATAATGATGACAACATTTCTATGCTTGAACTAAATACGTATGATGATTTAAATGAAACTTCGAATGATAATGATCAAAGAGCAATTAAAAACATTGGGAGTACTAAAAAAATTTTTCAAATGTTTTGTACAGCTAATTTAACCAGTTGTTTCCCAAATTTGTATGTAGCATTAAAATTATCAGTCACTCTTCCAATTTCAAGTTGTAGTGTAGAGCGTTCATTCTCAAAGTTAAAACTGATCAAAACTAAACTTCGAACTTCCATGCTACAGGATAGGTTAGAAAACTTGATGAAAATCAGTTGTGAAAAAGACTTAAATCCAATAGTAGACAATATAATTTTATCGCTAGCTGGAAAAAGTTCCAGCTTATGTAAAGCATTAGTGTATTAATGTACTTTGTTAATGTATGTTTAAGTTATATTTTTTTTATGAACAAATGTTCAATTTTTCTTATTGTAAACACATTACACCATTGATTATAATAATTTGTTATTTCTATTCAATTAATATGAATTTATAATATTAAATAATTAAAAATTGATCTGTTATGACATTATGTTATTATTATTTAATATTAAATATGTAAGAAATGAGTTAAAATTTAAACATTTGTATTTAATTACCATTATTACTAATGATCTATAATAATTATATTCATATTTTATATTGAATTTAAACATAATATCTATGTTTGCATAAATAGTACTAATCAAAACTGTAAATTGAGGAATATAAAAATACACAATTTTTTTATAAATACCTATATATATTTCTTATTAGTAATAGTTTATTTGTATGATTCTAAAGTGGGTACCATAATTTTGGATTTTTGCTTGTTATACGTATAACACAGTTTTATGAACTTATTAAGGATATATATATATATATATTAATATATTATAACTGCCTTATTGAAAGCAATTAAGATAATTAACTTAAATAGGTATTTTGGTAAGGTGGGTGGGTGGGTGGGTGGGTTGTCAATTATGATTTGCCCTACATATATTTTTATACTTCGGCGCCCCTGGTTTAGCGTACAAATGGAGAGGTTCCAGTGGTCTTTCCAAAGGCCCCATAATACGATTGTTTACTTAATCGTTTCATGTGTCGCTAAAATAGCTCGTTAACATTCTTAGTAAATCTAAATTCGGTTATCCGATAGCTTCAACGTAATGAATTAAATACAGTTAATTCAAAACATATCAGTTGAGCAAAATATTTGAGAAAAAATAAAAAAACTATGAATTAAAAACAAAAAAAAATATTACATACTATTTAACTTGGAAAAATAATAAAATACCTTATTTATATTTATATTTTTCACAAATCAATCACTGATATTATCTCAGTTTTATTTATTTTTGAAAATATAAAAAAACAGTAACTATATCATAAAGTTAAAAATGAAAACATTTTAAAAGAACATAGTCTCTTTGACTGATTATTATTATCAATATGTTAAGTTTTAAAACTTAAGAAACTTTAATTAAATATTATGTTAATAACATATTTTATAACTGGTTAGCTAAACTATACAAAATAATAATAATAATAAAAACGTATAATACATTTAGCTAAAAACAGAATAAATATTATACTAACGGGTGTATAAGAAGTTGCCTATAGAGACCCCTTAATAAAAAATAAAAAAAAAATTAATACTATACATATTATTACCACATATTATATTAAAGAAGAATATTATTAAATAAGAAAAAAACTTCATATTATATATAATTGAAATAGAGTTGTTCGATATGATATTATAATAATTTATAACATTACCGCTTATATATTTTATGTTTTACAGTTGTATTACGGAAAGAATGAGGAAAATTATTTCAAACCGTCAACCATCAGAATCAATAGAATTAATTGAAATTGAAAGATTTAAAAAAAATGCTCTAAAATATTTTTGATTAAGAATATAGATTCAATACTATACAAGTTGAATATAAACTTTTTTATTATATAATTGTTAAAGAAAAAATAAATACTATACTAAACTTATAGGATAAAAAATACAGAAGTATTATTTATTTTCATTGATTAATTTTTCCGCTAGATGGTGCTTTTTATATCGATTGTGGATACATTAGGTTAACCAAACAGACTATTGAGGATTAGGAGATCATGAGAAATAATTAATTCGACTTAAAAGAAACTTAATTTTTTTATTTTATTTTTTAAAAAAAATTAACAAAATATTATACATAAAAAATTATTTTAAAATATCTGATGATGTTATCCATGAATTTTGACTTGAATCAAAACCTAACCATTTAACAAGCATTTTATTCCCAACTTTTTTTACAGTACGTTCAATGAGAAAGGTGTTTGGAAAATCAGTTAATTTAATTTCCTGTTCATAAAAACCACCTAAGATTATATTGTCTGATTCATCCTTTAGTTGATAAGTTACTGGATTTGTCTGTAAAACTTTTGAAACTGTAAATATTTCCGTTGTCCAATTTGGTGTATATCCTTTACTAAATATATGTTTATACTTAGATATTCTTACTTCGTCATTAACTTTAAATTTTGGATTATATAATGTATCATTTATTTGTGTATTAAATGTATTATTGTTTGTATCCATTCGAGCTTCATTCGGTGTACATTTGATTGTTCTATGTTTTGTATTATTATAATTTTGTGTAATTTTTGATAGTGTATTATACCAATTCCATGTACAGCGAAGCTACAAATGATGCAGTAGACTAGTTAATATTGGATTTCTTAAATTCAAGGAGCCCTTTTGCCACAGCTAACAAGTGCCCAATTTATAGAACATTATGATCAAATTTTGAATTTTAAATTCTAGTCGGTAATTTCGAAGATTACAAATCCCACCGACCACCCATGTTTTTTTTTTTTGATCATCCTTGAACACTACACCTACGACAATACATTTATTTGGACCTAGCTAATTTTGGAAACATTTGTACAACCAGAAATTGTGGCCATATTAATCTAAGTTACCATAATATTCCATTTATAGATACACAATACTGTGGAAGTTTGGGTTGCATTATAGGTGTTTGCATAGGTACCTACTATTAAACCTTATTTTTTGGTAATGACTGAACGACGCAACGAGTGATTATAATGATTGGCCCCCATGCACCACACATAAATAGTATGCAAGTTGCTCACCTGAGCACTAGTTTCCAACGGTTTGTAATGCAAAAAATGCATGCAACTTGTTGTGTGAGTTTTAAACCGCTCGTGGCGCTAGTGTGGTCGACCGTCTTCTATGAAACTTTTGTTTGTCGGCACTTCCGCAGCTGGTTGCGGGCCGACTGGTCGTCGACTTTTGTCCTTATTTTTATAATCGTGTCGTGCGATGTTCTGTCATAATTTGTTCATGCCTACGCAGACTTGTGTATTATAATATTACAAATATCGAATAAGGCAGGGCAATTAACTGTAAATATAATATACATTTTAAATAACAAAAAAAAAAAACTTTATTAAAAATTGTATTTTCCGCTATTTCGATTTTATACTATCATCGTACTCCCGAAATTTGTTATTGAAACATAGGGAAAACAACACAATTTACAAATAACATTTAAATTAAGTAAATCAGCATCGCATTATCGGACCGTGTGGACGGTTTAATTTGAAATTAGAATGGTTTGTTGGCATGTTCGGCGTCGTCCTGTTTTTAGGCTCAGCTGAAACAACTGACTGTCCGACAAAGGCACTGTAATATTATTTGAAAAATATTATTTCTAATAAATTGTAGTACCCGAAATTCAATAATTGTGTGTCATGAGTATTAAACAGTGTTGGGGAGTAACTTAACTTAAGTTACAAGTTACTGTAACGAAATTACTTTTTAAGTTATTTCATGGTAATTTAATTACATTTTATTGTAAGTAATTTATATGTAATTTAAGTTACTTTTTTGTAGTAATTTTTACTAAATTACTCGTTACTTTTTTTGGATTAATACATTTTTTAGAACGTACCTATTGATAATATTGTGTGTAGGTAAATATTAAAATATATCATAATATATCTTATTAGTATTTTAATTTATAGGTAAAATTGTATGAACTGTAGGTACTATTTTTGTTATAGCTATTGACAGTTCGACTATAAAGTGTTACTTTTAGAATGGAATTCTTATCTTTACTCTGTACTCTGTGTTGTATCGTCGCGGACGGCTCACGGCGTCAGCGTCTGCGTATACAGCATTGTTGGAACTATCAATAAATAGTAATAATAATAAAAGTGAGGGAGACGGAGTGGCCGAGCGGACTAAGGCGTTGGTGGCAACGCTCACCGTAGCTGGTTGGAATCTCGGTAACGGGCAGACTACAGGTGCCCAATTTGAAATTCTTTCAAGCTAAAACACACGTGTTTACAAAAACCTACCGTACCCTCCACCTCAGTTAAAAACCACCCAATTGCTGCGGGTTAGTTAATATAAAAAAAAAAAAATAATTAATAAATAAATGTGTGGCTTGGCTGCTAGCTACCGCCTACCAGTCGCGCCATACGACTGAGAGTAAGTTGCGTCCGCTGCTACTAGTTCCCGGATGGGTGACCACCCGGATTCGTAGTAGTAAAAACCTTGCCACACTTACACGTGTTTACATACATACCGTAACAACACCTTACCATACCAAATTTACCAACCACAGTTTATAATCCCCTACAACAGCTTATGGCCATAGTTTCCGGGCTTAAGTTCAATAAAAATAATAATAATAATAATAGTGTAGCAAAATGAGTAGGTATCTGCTAATAATTTCACATTTTTTATTGGTATTACCTATTGAGTTTATGTATTGTTATAACTTATATTGACAACATGATTATTAAGCTCCAGTGATATTTTTGAAAAAAAGTAACTTCTATTGTAATTCAGTTACTTTTTAAACTCAAAAGTAATGTAACTTAACCATATTAAAAAAAAGTAACTTAAAAATAATTTAGTTACAATTTTGATAAGTAATTAGTAATGTAATTTAATTACCAAAAATAAGTAACTTCCCCAACACTGGTATTAAATGATATATGTCATATTAAGTACCTATACATAGTATTAGCTTCTATTAATTGGAATTGTCATTAACGTAGACGTAGATCTGGTAAGATGATGCTCGTCTAGCGCAATGCCAACGATTTATGGCGTGTCCGTTGAAATTGTTGGCGACTTTTTCGCACTTATAAACGGATAAAGGATGAACATGTTAGCCCATGGATTCAATAAAGATACAAGGTTATTGCAATAATAACCCCAATATATCATTTATCACGTTAAGGAATTAAAATGGCCACAATATATACTAACTATATATGAACTGTACCCTCACCCTGTCATTTTATTTTGCTTTGATAACAATTGTCGTATACGCCGATCACAGACGTACACAGATAAACAAACGAATAATAATATAAGCACTTTTATTAAAAACTTTTACGTCCAGTGGCGATTGAGTCACACGATCACCACCTGGCTCTAACACTGGTGGTCAGTCGAGTCACACGACCACCGCCAACTGACCATCTCTCTGTCTTCCCATTAACGTAGACGTAGATCTGGTAAGATGATGCTGGGCTAGCGCAATGCCAATGATTTATTTTATTACTTGGCAATCACTTTTTTAATTATCTTTTTATGGTATTTCGGGTTCACTAGGAAGTGGTGAATTTTTCTTGTTTTCGCGACGTCCGTTATGGCGTGGTCACTGATGTTGCTTTTTGTGTATCCAGCAGCAATGACCTCGTCATATAGGATCCCCGCACGCTGGTCCTGCAAATGCCAGTCAAAACGGTCCCGCAGCCCGAGAACATAGTTCACGTCGATGACGGCTTGTGGGTAAGATTCAAATATCTCGTGCGTGGTTATTTTATCTATCGCTTCATCGGGCGAGGGAAACTTTGAGTAAGGAAGCAGCGGGTAGAAGTCTTCGAAACTGAAAACAAATGATAACAGTCAGAGCTGTTTAGTCTTATGTGATTGCGTAAGGAGATAAAGTAACTGCGATAAAGTAACATGCGACGATGGTATGCACGCGTAGTGGTACGGCGGAGAAATTTTACAGGGCGAATTCATCAGTTCAAGGGGACGTCCAGCGGAGTGGGCGATTAAAGCGGAAGTCTCTACACGCTGGCTCGTCGACGACCGACACTCGGCCCGTGGTCCATCTCACCGGCCGTCATCACCGCGGTCCATGATATTTCTCAACAATCGATAACCGGACATATGAAAACGGAATCCGGCGGACGTGGACCGCCCGATGTCAACCCCATCGACGGCGACCGTTAAAGACCGATTCAAAACGTTCAATCCCGAAATTCTCGAACCGTGTCCCCGCAAGATTTTCGATATTTTTCGGAAGTCAACTTTGCGAGTTTTCATCCGACGGCTTTGAAACTTTCAAACGTGATAGTTAATTGAAAAAGAAACGTGAATGGACAGTTGTGGAATATAGCTAGGACGAATATTAAACGAGTTATAGTGGTAGGAAATAGTTGAAAGTGAATTCTACTTCGGACGTGCGTACCGGGGAGTCGGTCCGCAAAGCACCCGGACACTTTGGATTTCACCGTGCATCGTTCCATCCTCCTTTTCCCCAAGATAGTGTCCCCGTCAGTGAGTCTGACGTTCCCCAGATTGAAGTCCACCTGTCGATTCAAAAAAATTCTTATCGTTCGACGGCGTCCGATGGCGGTGCGGCCGCCCGGGCAGCCGAACGTCTTGTATGGTATTGGAATTCGACGACCGGCTCACGGGGACAAATTATGAAAATACGATTTCACACCGGATACACGCGTACATCGACTATGTCGGTGCGTATTGGTACGTATTGGTCTCCGGGGAGACGACCCGCCGTCAAGGGAGAGTCGCCGGGTAGCTGGGAATCGCGACCGCGGTCCGTGATATTTCTCAACAATCGGTAACCGGACATCTGAAAACGGAATCCGGCGGACGAGGACCGCCCGATGTCAACCCCGGAGACGGCGACGGGGCAAAATACTTTTCAACAGTTCAATCCCGAAATTCCCCGACCGTGTCCATGTGAGATTTTCGATATTTTTCGGAAGTCAACTTTGCGGGATTTTGTCCGACGACTTTGAAACTTTTAAACCTGATAGTAAATAAAAAGTTAAAACGAAATGTACTGAGGTCGGAAATCGATTGGACGGATATTTAACGAGATATCTCGGTCGGAAATAGTTCAAAAGTCATCAGTAGTCAGAGAAGAGCACCGGGGAGTCGGTCCGCACATATTACCCCTATACTTTCGATTTCACCGTGCATCGTTCCATCCTCATTTTCCCGAGACTTTGTCCCCGTCAGTATGTCGTCGGACGAAGATCCCGATATTGAAGTCCACCTGTTGATTCAAAAATTTCTTATCGTGAGCCTGCCACCGTGTCGTTGGTTTCCCCCGTGACGATGTTCCCGTAAGTAAGTCATCATTTGAAATTAACGGCATTGATGTCAACCTGTTGATTCAAAACACTTCTTATCGGCCGCCCGATTATCTAATCCTGAATATTCTGGACGGTCTGACGAGACAGTAGCCTATGAATATTTTCTCATGACCCACTGTCGGGGACAATTTTGGGGAATTCACAGATTGAAGGGAGATTTTTATTTTTTCACCACGCCGTCATCGGGGTTGACTTTAACCGGACCCCACCTCCGATAACCATAATTGGTCCGAGGATTTTAAAATAAAAATTCGATTGAAATCGCCCTGGTTGAAATGCACGGTAATCGGATGTTGAAACGTCCGCTTGAACTGATTGAATCGCCCTATATTAGGCGTTGACCTGTTGATTTATCAAAAATGTGATTATAACATTCTAAGGATTTCAAGTACGGTGTGCCATCGAATCCTCCTACCTCATTTATTGGACGTTGACTTGATGATCGGGCGCTCTCTCGATTTATTTTTTTAAAGTCCGTGTCACTGTACCACTACGCGGCCACATGGTTTTTTTTTCGATATGACACGCGGCAGGCAGTCGTGGATCCGGGCCGACGTTCCGAAGACCGTCCCTCGGCCGACACCAGATGACGCCTTTTCTTGTGTATAGCGCGCTGCCATATCACAACTTTTTCGGTCCGGGTTGACTCATCGCTCCGCATTTTAAACGTACATTTTTTCAGATGCAATGCTCAGGTACTAGCTGAATTTCCACACTACCCAAGGGGTATCAGCTACAGCGCGTTTTTTTTTAAGTGGTTTCCCCAAGAGGCCTAATCCACTGTCGTTCACCGACTATTCAAATTTTTTCACCACGTCCTTAACCATCTTTTCTTTATTTCCGTAAAGGAAATAATGAATTTTATTCTCCTTCGCCAGATTTTCTACCGCATATTTTGAAATGTTGGTTTTGTCATACTCCTGTACCGCCAGATCGTAAATAATCGTTACTCGGTCGTCGTGGACTTGTTCGTCGTACCGGGCCTTCACCCGTCTGATGAACGACTGTGTGATCTCGGCCCCATCATGAACGGCGTATTCGTCCGACGTCTGCAGCCTCTCGACGATGTTGTCATGGGTCATGTTGACATAGGCCTGATGGCCGAATATCTCTACAAAGCTGAAATAAGATACACATTTTCATCATTTTGTATTCGTTGATTTTACACATTGGGTAACTCACTTTTTCGACACCTCTGCCTCAAACAACGGCGTCGCACCGACCATTTCCAGTCTGTCGTGCCGGCGGATGGTCTCATTGGTGTCCGGCAGCCTGTAAAACTTGAGCTCCGTGCTGGAGTGCAACCGCCACCGACTTGCTCAAGTCGGGGTGGTGCTCTCTGGATTTTGTTTCGACCATCCGTCTAAAAACGCTGGCCGACAAGCGTGAACCGTAAATTTTATTAACGTCGTCATACAATTTTGTGACTCTCTCGCCATTGTTAGTCACAAAAAACTGTTTCGCGGACGTGATGACCCGCTGACGTAGTGAAAAGTACCTGTAAAGTTTATACGGTTGTATAAATAATATGAGGATAGGTTAGGTTAGGTTCGGATATACCACTTACCGTTCCATGAGCTCGGCCTTGCCATGTCCTATTACTAAGGTGGCCGGCTCCTTGTAACCGGTCTTGTGGGTGGAGACCGTCACCACAGTCTTTTCGCCCTCGACCTTACGGCGCTCCCACTCTTCGATCAACATATTTGCCACCACACCGCTCCTCTGCTTCGAGGTCCACAAAAGAAGGATGGACAAGCCACAAACGACCTTTCGCCAAATCCCGGAGAGCTGAAAATGCAAATTTTGGAATCAGATATTGTGTCGTGTCGGGTTAAGAGATCAGATTTACTTACGTGTTTCTGCGCTGGCGTGGACGTCTTATTGCTAGAGACCTTGACTATACCACCGGGGCCGAAGTGTTCCTCCAACTGGTCAAGGAACGGCGGTAGGTCAACGTCTATTTTTGCCATAACGTTTTCAATGTCCGTGTACTCGGGGAGAACGAGAGCTTCGGCAGTCTTCCTGCGGAACAAGTCTCCCGACTGCTGTTTGATTTTCTTACTATAAAATATTTTTAGCTTCTTCTGAAGCAGTTTAATACGATTAATGACAGTTTGGCTCGGCCGACCGTCGAAACATTTTGGGAAAGTCTCGTCCTCCAGCGCATATAAGGTGATGGCCGAGCTCAGTAACGTGTGTAGATTCTTCAGATAGTTTATTGTTGTCGCCGTTGTTTGGCCCAGTTCCTCTCTCCTATAAAAAAAAATATATATATTATAAAATATTATTTAGGTATAAGTAGGTGGTGGGCTGCTAGGACTTACTCCGTGAAGTATTTGACGTATGGCTGGAAGACAACAATTCCGACCAATGTCTGGGCGGACATCCACGATCGTTTAGCCACGTCGAGACGAACTGAAGGATTCTCGAGACATTCGCAAGGTAATTCTTGCATGCCTAAGAATCCTTCTCGTGGCTTAACTCGAGGTACTTCGAGTGGAGGGATATCAGCGGTTGGTTGGTCGGAAGTTGCTCCTGAAGACCCTGGTCGACCAGCTGCTTACGTACTTTTTTGTACCTAGAAGACCGGAATACAAACACCGTTAAAACACCTAACAGACAATTAATTTTTAAATGTATAACTCACGGTGAAATCGGCAAGTCAGGAACGACTTCTGGCTCGGGCTCGTCAACGGGCTCCACTTGGATATGCTCCTGTCTTCTCATCACCGGTGTGCGTGGCGGCGATGGCAACGGATCTTCAATAATGTGCTTTTGGAAGGGGTTAAACGGGACCAGGGACACAGAGCGCCTGGACTCCCCGCCAAAGTTTTTGCCCATGCCATCAAGGCTAGCCTTGACGGGTCGTTTCAGGAGCTGCCTGTGTTTTAATCCGATTTGTCGGGTCATTTTATTGTCGTCAGTCGTATAACGGCCGAACGGACAGTACTTGATCAGCTGCGAAAAAAAATACCATTAGTTTATTGCCAAGTGTTAAGGTATGTTTTGCAAAGGTTACTTACGCGTGTTGTTATAAGGCTAGTTATTTTTTCTGATACGTTCAGCCTGGTTCTCCTGGTTCTGGATGGCGTTGGAGATGGACCTATGGAAAAAACAAGTATTAATAACGCAGTACAGCACGCGCCCATGGTTATAATAAAAATACTCACTGCGGGAGATTGACGAGTTGCGTGACGACATCTTGGAAACTTTGGGTACCATCAATGGACTCGCTACTGTGGGAAAATATTGATATTAGTAAAAACAAAACACTACACCCCTGATTTCATTAACACTCACGTCCGATGACCGACGACGCATTCGACGACTGTTCATTTGAGGCACGTGAACATTTTGTATCCCTCGATGTGCCCGGTACGAACTTCCATTGTTCTTGGTCTGAAACAGTAACGTTAAATGATAATCGTAAACTCATTAGGTGAGTATGAATGGTAAATACCCAGTTCGTCGTCGATGTACGAGTCAAAGTCAAAATCAACCAGAGCGACATCATCTGTAAATTAATAAGATTATGAAATGTATAAAACAATTCTTGAGAATAACACTTACGGTTTTCAACGTTGACTAATACGCCATCTCCCTCGACATCCACGACGGGCGTAAATGACAGCGACTCATGACGGACCGGAGACGATCGCGGAATTTCATCGAGATGAGGTGGAGATGGTGTGTAAACCTTGTCCACCTCAAGTTTGCTGGATATACGTCCCGGGACACAATTAAAGTCTTCTAACTGTGTTTGTTATAAAGAACTCTTTCATATTTGTTCGCACACGGCACCGGATGCGATAGTATCTTCGAACACGGACAAGGTCAGGTCAGGTCGGGTCGGCTCGGGGTTACAACTATTACAACTCACCTTTCCATCAGGGCGGCAAGATCGGCGCCGAGCACGATGAGTGACGGCTCCTTGTCGCCCGTCTTATGTTTGACGACGGTCACCACGGTATTGTCGCCTTCTACCTTCTTGGCCAGCCACTCGCTGACGAGCATGTTGGTGGCGACCCCGCTGCGGTGTTTGGAGAACCATAAGACGAGCACCGCCAGGCCGCAAGTCGTCTTTCTCCACGAAGAGCTGACCTGCAACGAAACGAGAAATATGAAAATAACAGAACGCGGCGGTCGAGCGACCGGTGTATTGATATAGGGACCCGTGGATTACCATTTTCTGTATCGGAGACCCTTTGACCGGGGCGATGTCGATTTCACCGTCGGCGACGACGATCTCTTCAAGTTGGGTCAAGAAGACCGGCACGTCCGACTCTACCGTTTTTATTACCCTTCTGACGCCCGGGTAGTCGGGGAGCTCCTGCGCCTCCGTGGTTTTTCTTTCAAACAATTCTTGAGGCTGTTTCTTCAGCTTGCTCTTATAGAGCAATTGTATTTTACCTAATAACAGCCTCATCGAGTTGATTTTGTTGGGGCACGGCATCAGATCGAACGACTGTGGGAACGTCGGATCCTCCACGCTGTAGTTCGGAATGGCCATCTCAAATAGTGTAACCAAATTTTTCAGGTAGTTCACCGACGTGGCCACGGTCTGGCCGAGTTCTTCCCTCCTGCGGATAGCAAACACGAGTTTTAGACAAACCGATAACGTACCGGATGTATAAGTGCAGCACTCACTTTTGCAGGTATTCGACGTACGGGTCGACGGCGCAACTCAACAGGTCGGACCAGTGTACCACGGGCGTTTTTCTGTCCCGGAGCCATGCGGATACGTAGAAGAGTATTCTCGACACGTTGGCCAGGTAGTTTTTTACCGCCGCCGTATCACTTCCGTGGCTGAGGGTCAGACTGCTCCGGTGCAACTTCAGCAGCGGGTGGTCGTCCGGCAGCCTCTCCTGTAGCCCTCCCGTCGTCAGATCTCTCCGGAAAGATTTCATCGGGGACCTGCGCAAAACGGGAAATGAGTTAGTGTGTCGGGTTCTCGCCGGCGGTACGAGATACTCACGAAGTACACGCGTCGTTTATCCTCTCGGGGACCGGATCCATCACCAGTCGCTCTTCGCGTTCTTCCGAACGTGGGCGGTTGTCTACGCTAGGTGGTCTCGGATGGCGCCAGTGCTCCGGTTTGGCGTCGTCTACTCTCTTCAGGTACCTTCTGAACGGGTTCTCGAGGTACGGCGTCTCGGGCAGGTCCCAGCTCTCCCCGTACACCTTCATACGCCCCATGATGCACAGCCTGGAACAAAAAAAAAACCACTTGTAAATCTCGTGCGACACGAAAAAAGGAAAACACAAAGTGAATAACGATATAATTACTGGAATGCGATTTTCCTAAACGAAACGTCTCCCCAGTACGGACCCATTTTTTCTCTTATGACAGACATCGGCAGCAGGGTGATGGACCGCCTCGACTCCGAGCCGAAAATTTTGCCCATCTCCCGGAGGCTTTGTTCGACGGGTCGTCGCACGTGGCTCCGGTGCTTCAACCCGATGTGCCTTGTTAATTTGTTGTCGTCCGTTTTAAAAGGACATATCGGACAATATTTGATCAACTGAAACAACGACGAAAAAATCGTTAATTTATACGCTACCGCTCTGCTGTCGTGCGTAAACGCGACACTCACTCGTGGGTTGACGACGTTCCGGTTCTTCTCCGTCACGTTGAGGCGACGTCGTCTGGCCAGTCGTCCGTCTTCCTCTTCGTCGTCGTTGTCGTCATCCGTAAGGTACAAAGGGATGCTATCTGCGGACAAAAGCAAATTTCCAGATTGCTGTCGGCAAAAAGAAAAAAAAAATCGAAATAAATACTCACATATCTGAACCGTGGACTTGTCCGAATTCCTACAACTATCCACGACCATAGAGCGTCGGCATTGACATGTCTCAACTTTATTTTCGACAACGGTGATTTTTGCCGGCTGGTAGACGTGACAACGCGGAAAGGTGACGGTGGTTTTTGCCGGCTGGTAGACGCGACAACGCGGAAAGGTGACGGTGATTTTTGCCGGCTGGTAGACGCGACAACGCGGAAAGGTGACGGTGATTTTTGCCGGCTGGTAGACGCGACAACGCGGAAAGGTGACGGTGATTTTTGCCGGCTGGTAGACGCGACAACGAGGAAAGGTGACGGTGACTTTTTTCGGCTGATAGTATTCGTATCTTTGGATGGCGACTTTTGCACGTCGTTTTTCCTCCATGTCCCATTGTCGGTCTTTGGCGTTTCGACAATCTCTAGAATGAAAAAATTTCGACAATGAAAATGTCCGGGTCATATGTATTTACGTGGGGCACTTACCATCCTGAAAATCAAACACATCCGGTGACCCAGGTGGTGTAGGGGTCATATAAATGTTGTCCCTGTTCGGATACCATTCTGGAGACTCGGACCGGAAACGCTTGTGCCGGTTCAACAGTACTACTGGTGCCCGCGGTAACACCGAGTCCTCGGCTTCTGGCTCTTCATCTATTTGGTTCCCATGTTCCAGTTTTCGGTCCCAAACCCTTACGGCCTTGTTATAGGCCGTACGGTTATGAACCTCAACAGTCCTTTCAATTTTCTTTGTTTTGCGCCCCTTTAACTTGATGATCGCTAAGTATACGAGAAGGAAATAAAATCAATTAAAATTAGGGGTCACAATGTAGAATTGCTTTCTATAAATTACTTTTGACCATTGTTTTCTTGTAAACCGGCGAAGGCGACTTTTTATCAAGCGAGGGAGAAATCTTCTCCGGCGAAGGCGACTTTTTATCAAGCGAGGGAGAAATCTTTTCCGGCGAAGGCGACTTTTTATCAAGCGAGGGAGAAATCTTCTCCAGCAAATTCGATTTCGGTGAACGGGCGCTCTCAAGATAATACTTGGTTTTTTTTTGAACAGCAGAAGATACTGGACCTTTCAGTTATATTTTTTCCAGCTCCTTCCGCAACGAAGTTCGAGGAACTTTTTTATCAAACTTGCCGTGTTAGTGGGTACACCGTGCTTGACGACAAGCTCGACTGCCTCTTGGAGGGGTTTATTGTCCGCCGTTTTCACGTAACCACGGGTTCCCTGAACGATTTAAAAAAATATTAGCTTGCGGAAACTTACTAATATCAAAGTAAAAAAAAAAAAAATTAAAAACTTACTGCTTTCACGCATATACCCTCCCTATGAGCGTATTGCCGAAGCGTGGTATAGGGAATTCCATGCTGTTGAGCAGCTTGACTAATAGATGACTTACCGCTTTTGAGTTCCCTCAAGGCAGACTCCAACGAACTGAACGACATGACAACTTTAAGCTATACGAAAAGAAAACATAAACTTAAACATACGGGTGGGAAGGAAAAAAAACTACTCGTATCGTAAGTGGTAAATTTTCAATTTTCATTCGCGTTTCATCGGTCACCTGGGGTTCCAACGACAATTTGTCATAGAAGCTAAAATGTTCTACATGTGATTTTACACCAGAATCAGTTTGTCATTTTTCCAAAAACTCTGTAATGGGATTACGCAATATCATGTATTTTGCTCATAATAACAACCAGGAATGGGATTACGCAATATCATATATTTGCTCATAATAACAACCAGAAATGCGACCACACCCAAAAGTGTTTTCGACTACGAATACCACTTTCATAGTCGTGAGGTCCATATCAAGGACGACTGTACACGCGCCGCTCACTTCAAAGGACGCCGCCACCATATATATAGGGGACAGCGAGACAGCCTGAGTTAGATGTATCCAGAAACGAGAACACCACACGACTCGCTTAGCCGCCCAGCCATCACACACGACTTACACGGAGATTATCAACTTCGGAACGAGCTACAATTCGCTACAATCAACACTATTATTCTGCTTGTTTTGTCTGGTTTAATATAATACATTTGATTATCATACTAATTGACTATTATTATTTATCAAAATACACCAGCTTTTGGATCCCTGAAGGGCCGCATGTAACAACTCGTTATTTCAAATTTTGCTATTTCAAATCGTTCGACCTTAGTACGATGAGGTTTAAAAATCCTTAATAACGCCCCAACCTGTAGTCGTACTGACTTCAAACCGGTACCAATCGAACCGCGCCGACTTCCACAAAAAACTAAAATCATACAAACTGATAATCACCAACACGGTAAAGCCTTACAACAGTTATAATCGAAAACCATATACGGGCATCATGCAGCAAACGCTATTTCATGTGACGGGTGAAAAACTTGGAAGAATAATCCTCAATAACTGGTAAATGAAAAATTATAAGCAAACAACTTATGTAGATAGTTATGGCGAATTTTATGTCTTATGACTTTCGACCTATCTCTCACAAATTTCCCGGAAAATAGTTCGTAAACGTGAATTTTCATTATTCGAAATTTTCAATTTTCATTCGCGTTTCATCGGTCACCTGGGGTTCCAACGACAAATTTTCAAATTTTCAGTTTTCAAAACTGAATACAAAAGTGGAATGCCCGAGCGTAAACGTTTAACGCGCGCCCAGTTTAAATACGCACTCATGAAAGCGGCTCTTTATACGCTTAAAAAAACAACTGAAAAAACGCTAAAAAAAAAATTTAAAAATGCTATACTGTTGATAAAGAGGTGAAACACAACAATAAAATGCTTAAAAAAATGAATAAAAAAGCGAAACGCATGAGCGTAAACGTATAACGCGCGCCCGGTATAAATACGCCGACCGAAGACTTCCGACCGAAACAAACCAACTTTCGTAGTACAGATTTCATCCACGCGATCACAGATATCTCATTATTCACTGTCGGTGACTACAAAAGTTTTTTATTCTTTTTTTTTAATTTTTGGAAAACTCGACGAACAGTCTGACAAACACATGGAATGCGACGAGTGAGACGGCCGATGCAATGCCGGAATACTCCAACTATTACACCATTGGTCGCCTCACAAGCCTTAAGCTGGGACAATATTTCTCTCCTAGCCGCGTAAGTCTACCCGGGTGGGTCTTACTACGACGTCGGAAAGAAATTTGAAAATAAAAATGTCGACAATATAATGAGATTCCGCTACCTGCGAACAACGTACTCGTTGGAGTCCTTCAGTCGGCACGGATAAAATACTCACGTAAAGTTGATGCACTTGAAGAAGGACGACCGTACTACTACGCACGAATTTTTTTCACACGGTCGCGATTCCCAGCTTCCCGCCGACTCTCCCTTGATCGCGGTTCGTCTCCCCGGAGGACGCCATACCACTACGCACCGACATAGTCGATGTTCGCGTGTATCCGGTGTCAAACCGTATTTTCATATTCTGTTTTCCGACAGTGGGAGTCCGGGGAAAGTCTACCCCGGGGACCGACGCGAGAAAAAATCAATACCCGCCTTCAACCTGTAAATTCCCTGGATTTGTCCCCGACAGTCGGTCATCAATTCTGTGACTACCGTCGGAAATCATCGTGTAAAATATCACAGGATTAAGAGCGATAAGAATTTAGTGAATCAACATGTGGTTGCGTTCAACCTCGGGAATGGCCGATTGACGGGGACACGGGAGGGAAAATGATTACGAAAATCAACTGGTGGTTGCGTTCAATCTCGGGAATGACCGACTCCCGGGGCACGCCGTCCGGGAACTTCGGATCGTAGGGTTCAATCTCGGAAATGACCGACTGACGGTGACAATATCTTGGGGGAAAGGAGGATGGAACGATGCACGGTGAAATCCAAAGTGTCCGGGTTGTTTGCGGACCGACTCCCCGGTACTCACATCCGAAGTCGAACTCACTTTCAACTATTTCCTACCACTATATCTCGTTTAATATTCGTCCTAGCTCTATTCCACCTCTGTCCATTCACGTTTCTCTTTCGATTAACTATATGGTGTTAAAATTTGAAAGCCGTCGGTCGAAAACTCGCCAAGTTGACATCCGGAAAAACTCGGAAATCTCACGGGGACACGGTCGGGGAATTTCAGGATTGAAGCTTTTAAATTAATTTTATGCAGTCGCCGTCTCCGGGGTTGTCCTCGTCCGCCGGATTCCGTTTTCAGATATCCGGTTATCGATTGATGAGAAATATCACGGACCGCGGTGACGACTCCCAGCCACCCGGCGACTCTCCCTTGATCGCGGTTCGTCTCCCCGGAGGACGCCATACCACTACGCACCGACATAGTCGATGTTCGCGTGTATCCGGTGTCAAACCGTATTTTCATATTCTGTTTTCCGACAGTGGGAGTCCAGGGAAAGTCAACCCCGGGGACCGAATCGAGAAAAAATCAATACCCGCCTTCAACCTGTAAATTCCCTGGATTTGTCCTCGTGAGACGGTCATCGAATTACCAATACCGTAAACGACGTTCGGCTGCCCGGGCGGTTGCACCAAGATCGGTCGCCGTCAAGCGATAAGAATATGTTTGACTCAACAGGTTAACCCGGAGGTCAATTCCTGGTCAAGACACTGAGTCGATTGGCTCACTCATGGACCGAGAATATCCGTGTATTTTTGCGTATGTGTTAGTGAGGCCCGTTTTGGTATCGCGATGAGGTCAAAGATAAATATTTTTTTTTTTTCAATTCGGGTAAGTAATTTGACGGGGACACGCAATTTTCACAGGGACACGGAATCTGAGGAGGACATGGAATTTCACGGGGACACAAGATTTTACTGGGAAATGGAATTTTACGGGGACACGGATTATTTTTCGTGAGGTTAGGTTCCCTAGCCCATTTCCGATCGTCGGGTGAAATCGTCAAAGTTGATGACCGAATGTGGGGGAAAAATTTTGGGAATTGACAGGTTGACTGAAAATTCAATTTCCAGAATTTCACCCGGGTATAATGGCTATCTCACGGGCCGCCAAAATCAATGTATTTTCTATACCTGTGTTAGTGAGGCCCGCAAGGAGGACACGTTTTGTACTCGTGAAGAGGTCATTGTTGTATTTTTCACGAGACTCACTGACGGGGACACAGCCTTGAAGATTTTCGAAGCCCAAGTCCCTATGATGGGGACATGGATTTGAATATTTTTTTCGTGAGACTCACTGACGGGGACACGGCCTTGAAGATTTTCGAAACCAAAGTCCCTATGATGGGGACATGGAATTTGAATATTTTTCCCACCAGACTTGCTCACGGGGACACGGGTTATTTTTTCTCTGCGGCCTTCGGGGTTCACATTGTCCAGGTCCTGTTGGTCTTTAGCCGAAATTCCCAAGCCCGGGGCCAATCGTCAGTGAAAACATTGAAGTCGATGACCGACTGTCGAAGACAAACCAGGGAATTTACAGGTTGAAGGGGTATATTAATTTTTTCTCGATTTGGTCCCCGGGTTGACTTTTCCCGGACTCCCACTATCGGAAAACAGAATATGATAATACGGTTTGACACCGGATACACGCGTACATCGACTTTGTCGGTGCGTAGTGGTACGGCGTCTTCCGGGGAGACGACCCGCCTTCAAGTGAGAGTCACCGGGTAGCTGGGAATCGCGACCGTGTAAAAAAAAATTCGTGCGTAGTGGTACGTCGTCCTCCGGGGAGACGACCCGCCGTCAAGGGAGAGTCGCCGGGTAGCTGGGAATCGCGACCGCGGTCCGTGATATTTCTCAACAATCGGTAACCGGACATCTGAAAACGGAATCCGGCGGACGAGGACCGCCCGATGTCAACCCCGGAGACGGCGACGGGGCAAAATACTTTTCAACAGTTCAATCCCGAAATTCCCCGACCGTGTCCATGTGAGATTTTCGATATTTTTCGGAAGTCAACTTTGCGGGATTTTGTCCGACGACTTTGAAACTTTTAAACCTGATAGTAAATAAAAAGTTAAAACGAAATGTACTGAGGTCGGAAATCGATTGGACGGATATTTAACGAGATATCTCGGTCGGAAATAGTTCAAAAGTCATCAGTAGTCAGAGAAGAGCACCGGGGAGTCGGTCCGCACATATTACCCCTATACTTTCGATTTCACCGTGCATCGTTCCATCCTCATTTTCCCGAGACTTTGTCCCCGTCAGTATGTCGTCGGACGAAGATCCCGATATTGAAGTCCACCTGTTGATTCAAAAATTTCTTATCGTGAGCCTGCCACCGTGTCGTTGGTTTCCCAATGTTCCCGTAAGTAAGTCATCATTTGAAATTAACGGCATTGATGTCAACCTGTTGATTCAAAACACTTCTTATCGGCCGCCCGATTACCTAACCCTGAATATTCTGGACGGTCTGACGAGACAGTAGCCTATGAATATTTTCTCATGACCCACTGTCGGGGACAATTTTGGGGAATTCACAGATTGAATGGAGATATTTATTTTTTCACTACGCCATTATCGGGGTTGACTTTAACCGGACCCCCACCGCCGATAACCATAATTTGGTCAGAGGATTTTAAAATCAAAATTCGATTGAAATCGCCCTGGTTGAAATGCACGGTAATCGGATGTTGAAACGTCCGCTTGAACTGATTGAATCGCCCTGCTTGAAGAGCACGGTAATCGAATGTGAAAACGTCCCCTTGAACTGATGTATTCGCTCAGTAAAAATTCTCGCCATAACACTACGCGTGCATATCATCGTTGCATATTGTGAAACTCGAGATTTTCTAACTATGAGATTGTCGGTGGTCGTTACAGGTTAGGTTCCACATTGTCGTTGGATCACCAGGTGACCGATAAAACGTGAATGGAAATTGAAAATTTCAGAAACTGAAAATTCTCGTTTACGAACTGTTTTCCGGGAAAACCGTGAGAGATAGGTCAAAAGTCTTCAGAAATAAAATTGATCCCTACAACCTGCTTCATAAGATCAATGCATATTATTTTTCATTTACCAGTTATTTAGGATTTTTCTTCGAAGTTTTTCAAGAGTCACATGAAATATCGTTTGCTGCATGATGCCCGTATATGGTTTTCTTTTTTTCGGCTAAACATTTCAAACGAATATATTGTTTAAGTGTCAGCCGCAATTCTAGCTGAATTTCCACACTACCCAAGGGGTATCAGCAAAAGCGCGTTTTTTTTTTAAGTGGTTTCCCCAAGAGGCCTAATCCACTGACGTCCCAACGTCATCAGTTTTTTTAAAGTGGTTGACTCCACTGACGTTCCAACGTCATCAGTTTTTTTAAAGTGGTTGACTCCACTGTCGTTCCCACGTCATCTACTTCAACATGCAGATTACCTTGTGGCACATTGTCCTGGTCGCTTTCCAGAAAGTAATGCAGCTTATGCTGCTTCGCCACATCGATGACGGCATGTTTTGTGATGTTATCACGGTTGCATTCTTGACGGCGGTGTCGCTCAAGAATTTCTGCCCTTTGCTCAAATACCTCATCGTTAAAACGTGCCTTGATGCGCTGAATGAGCGCGTCAGTCAAGTTGGCCATAGGATGCGCCGCATACGCATCCGAATCCAACAGCCTCTCGCGTATGGCGTCCTCGTTCCAACTAGCGTATGGCACCGGAGGAAACAGACTGTCGAACCTGAAACACAAATCGACGTCAATTTTATGTTTTGGGCATAAGTCGCAAGTCGCGAATTTACTCACTCGTTTAATAGGCTCTCCTCAAAGGCAGCGGTCTCGTCGATAACGTCGATGTGACGCTGCCTCCGCAATGCTTCCCTGGCATCTGGAACCTGGTAATATCTAAGTGCCGTATCCTCGGAGTGTGGAGAGCCTTTGCCACCCCGCTGCAGGTCTCCCGGTCGTGATCCCTGCTTTAGCTCTCCACCATCCGCCGGAATATGCAGGCCGACAACTTTGAATGGTAAATCTCGTTTATTTAATCATATATTTTTACCAATCGCTGGCTTTTGTTGTTCACAAAGAACTCCTGGGAGTTGTTTTGGATGCGGCAACGGAGTTTATAGTACCTACGTACACACGTGGTTAGGTTAGATTATTAAGGCAATGGGAAGCGGTTCACGATCTCTTACCTGTCCATTTGTATTTCGAGTTCTCCGCCGAGCACGATCAGTGCGGGCTCCCGGTCGCCAGTTTTGTGGGTTGATACGGTAACCACCGTCTTCCTTTCTCCTCGAGGCCCACTAAGTGACAAGCATGTTAGACACCACGCCACTGCGGTGCTTGGAGACCCAAAGCACCTGAACGGCGAGACCACAAGTCGCCACTCTCCACCATTTGCTGACCTGGAACAAAAAATACAAGGGTTAGCGTACAGTGGGTGAGCGGTTGACTGCGAGGCTTGACTCACCATCCTCTGCAATGCCGATGATCCCGCTTCAGAGGACACGCTGATGGTCGGTTCTGCGCCGAACTGGTCTTCCAGCGAACTCAATGTCTCCGGCACTTGAGTTCTCACCAGCTGCATTACCGAGTTTACCTCTGTGTACTCCGGGAGAGTGGCGGCTTCTTTTGTTTTTCGCAAAAACAACTCCTTCGGTTGTCTCTTCAATTTATTTTTATATACAAGGCTCAGCTTTGTCTTCAATAATTTCATCGCATTTATGGTATTTGGACATGGCAATAACGTTTTCGGAAACGTGTTGTCTTCCATTGAGTAGCTGTTTATTGCCATGTCCAACAGCATGTTAATGTTTTTTAAATAGTTCACCGACGTCGCAATCGTCTGGCCGAGTCCCTCTCTCCTGCGGGAGGAAAACGAAAAATTAAAAAAAAATATACACGCGACGTGATTCCGGCGTCCCACACTCACTTATCCAAGTACTCTACAAAGGGGTCGGCCGGGCAAGTCAACAAATCTGTTGACTGCCAGTGGGCGTATTCCGGTCACGGAGCCAGACCGACACGTGGTAAAGCAACCTGGCCACGTTGGCCATATATTTCTTTACAGCCACCGAATTTTGGTCGTGGCTGAGAGCGAGGCTTCTCCGGTGAAGTTTTAGCAGCGGGTGGTCACCGGGCAACTGCTGCTGCAGCCCCTCCTCCGTCAGACCTTTTCGAATTTGTTTCACAATTCTGCGAACAAAAGGAATGATAATAAATAAATAATAATAAATAATATAATAAATAAAATAAATAAATTATAATAAATCGAACTACGGTCGGACGATCGCCGAGCGTACGCGGCGGTCGGTCCGAAAGATTATACTCACGGAGATGACGTGCTGTCCAGGACGGGCTTTTCGGGAGAAACGTCAGGCGACTGGTCTTTGACTGTTCGGGATGGGACGAACTTTGGTTCAGCCTTAAACTTTAAATACTTTGCGAACGGGTTTTCAGAAACAGGGGCCTCTGCAAGTCCCACGGTTCTATGTACACCCTAATCCGTCCCATCAGGCATAATCTAAAATTTCAAAACACCGTGTTAGGTTATGTAAGGCAGAGACGACGATAAGCGGTACTTACTGGAAGGCGACTTTCCGGTATGCCACATCGTCCCAATATGGGCACAGTTTGTCCTTCACGGCGGACATCGGTATCAGGGACACCGACCGTCTCGACTCGCTACCCAGGATTCTACCAATCTCCTTGAGACTGGTAGCGACTGGTCGTATGATCAGGCCGTGGTGTTTGATACTGATGTGCCCGGTTAGTTTGTTATCGTCCGTTTTATACGGACATAACGGACAGTACTTCGTCAACTGAAACACATACGAAAGAAAATAAAACATTGTTAATTATCACGCTCTTCGGTACACTCTGTGTGTAAACGCAATACTCACTCGTTTGCTGATGACGTTTACGAATTTTTCGGTGACGTTCAGGCGGCGTCGTCTGCCCCGATGCTCCTCGCCGTCGTCTTCGTCACTCTCATCGTCAGAAAGCGTCGTCACGCTAGCCACGGACGCAAAGTCGGGAACACTTGCGTCAATCATGGCTGAAATGAGATGAACGAACGTAAGGAACGATGCACAAAAAAAAATACAAAATATAACATACCGTCTTTGGAACCGGGTAAATGAGCTCTAGCCTGACGTCCAACATCGTCGTCTGCAAAACACAAATGGCTGGAGTCTGAGGACAAAAGCAAATTTCACGATTACTATTGGCAAAAAAAAAACAAGAGTTCGAAATCAATACTCACATCTATGAATAGTCGACGCGTCGAATCACCACGACTGCGGTCGACCATCAAAACATCAGCACTTAGCTGTCGGAACTCTACTGGATCGAATATTGACGGTGACCTCGGCCGGCTGGTTGACGCAACGCAGACCGGCGGCGACGGTGACCTCGGCCGGCTGAAAACCTGGTATAACACCGGTGACGGTGAGTTTATATGTTCGCGGTCGTAGATCACCGACCTAAACTTCGGCGTTTCGACAAGCGCTAGAATGACAAAAAATCAATAACGTCAACGAAAATATCGAGTCATATGTATTTAAGCGGGGGCACTTACGTTCGTCTTCGCGAAACTGGAATACGTCCGGTGACCCAGGTGGCGTCGGGGTATATATACTTTCGCGGTTCAATGGCGGTGAAAAAAGCAGGAACCGCTCGTGTTTGTTGAATGGTGGCCCTGGTACCCACGGTGCCCAAGATTTCTGTTCTACTGGTTCTTTGCCGTGGTTCTGCTCGTCGTACTTTATCTTAATATGGGTGTTGATCGGCGTAGTGATTTCCCTAGTGATGACCATGACTTCGGGCTCCTCATCACCATCCGCATAGTCCTGCATCGGTTTTTCATCTGTAAAATATTGCATCACACATAATACGTTATTTCACAGGAAAGGCCAATAATTTAATTTAAAAGTCATTATACCATAAGCGGGTCGTTTCGGAAAATAAGATGAGCGCTTGTGGACCTCCACCAAGCGCTTGACTCTCACCATTTTACCTTTGGATCCTTTGAATTTTATCACAATATCAATAAGCGATTATAGTTTATGACTAAAAGTATTAATCATAATATGTTATTAATTATGTTACCTTTTTCAACGATGTTGCCATCCCGTTCTGGCACGGATGTCTCCATCACTACGATCGGTGCGTTATCTGCGGAAAGATACAACTCAATAATTCGTTCGGTAAAAAGAAAAAAATAACTGTTACCTTTATCGACGATGTTGCCATTCCGTTCTGGCACGGATGTCTCCATCACTACGATCGGGGTTATAGCCCGTGAAGGGGATGGAAGAGACCCTAATATTTTAATAAAAAGATATAACTCAATAGTTCATACTGTAAAAAAAATTTTCTATTCACCTTTAATCTTATCAAAATTTTTTAAAGCCTTGCTGAGGGTCGTACGTGGTACGTTTGCCACTCGTGAAGCCAAATTAACCGGAAACTTGTTTTTCCGAACAAGTTCAATAGC